GAAAATAAGTGAATTCCCTCTCATTTTTCATCAAAACCATCATCTGCAGATTTGAAACCGGCCGGCTCAGCATCAACGAGCATCTTAACAACTTCTTTCATACACGGCCTTAGGTTCGGGAGCTTTGCCGTGCAACGAACCGCAATCTTCAAGACCTTAATCATGTCATCTTGAACCTGCTCAGAGACCAACTTTTGATCGAGAATTTTTCGAACAATATTCTCCCGAGTGTCGAGATTAGTCGAGACAAAGTAAACTATATCCCTCCCTTCACCGTATTCATCCTCTACCGCTCCTTTTCCGGTCACTAACTCGAGCAACACGACCCCAAAGCTGTACACGTCACTCTTTTCCGTGAGTTTGAGCGAATAAGCCATCTCTGCACAAAAAAAATCGAGCTATCAATCAAAAAGTTTACAAATGAACCTACTTATTTATTCAGAAATTACAAATCTAAATCTACCTGATAAGCTAGTTGATAAGTGATTTTTGAGCTTATAGCTAAAAATCGAGCTTATATGATAAAAGTGTTTAGTAAAATTAGCTGAAATAAAAATTTCAATGAGCTTATTCGAAAAGCTACCCGAAGTTTCTAAAAAAGCTTATTTCAATGAGAAAAGTTCGATCTTTTACCAAATGAAGCTTATTTGAATACAAGAAGCTTATAAGCTAACCAAATAAGTTGTAATCTAGCTTATTTGGTTACCAAACATAGCCTAACTATTTGAGCAAAGTTTTGAACAAGAGTAAAAAAAGTAAAGAACTAATTACCGGGAGCAATATATCCGTGAGTGCCCGTGAAACAGCTCATCTCGGACCCATTTGGCGAGATGTTATCCACCACCTTCGCCACACCAAAATCGGCAATCTTGGCCTCATAATCCTCGTCGAGCAATATATTAGTCGACTTTATGTCCCTGTGAACGATAGCCGGGCTGCAATCATGGTGCAAATACGCGAGCCCTTTAGCAGCCCCAAGCCCGATTTTATACCTCTGGCACCAATCCAATTCTGGCCGCCCGAATTTAACCACCCCACGTAAGGCCCGATACAGATTCCCATTCGCCATGTACTCGAAAACCAAGTAATGTGAACTCCCCCTCGTCAAACAAGCGTAAAGCTTCAGTATATTCCTGTGCCGGATATTTCCCATTATTTTCATTTCGGCCTCTATCAATTTGACCCCACTACCTTTCCATAATTGCTTAATGGCCACTGTCCCGCCGCCTTTTCTCAAGTCGAGCCGGTAAACTTTTCCCGTGCTCCCGCACCCGATCACATTCTCCTCGTCCGTTTCGCATATTTCGTCAGCATCCAATTCGAACTCGTTCTTCTGGAAGCTCTCGAGCCTCCAGTTCGGGCTATTTCCCTTTCCGGGCCCAAAAATTCTCCCGGTCCCAGCCCGTTCTGAGTCCGTATAGCTCACGAGCATTAACCCGAGCAGTATAACAACCAGGATAAGCAAAATAACGCAAAAGATAACTACTTTGCTCTTAAAGAAGCTTTTTTTGCTGTTTTTCCCATCACAAAAGGGTATCGTCGAGTTCACGAACCTTTTCGTGCTCTCGTTTTCTTCTACGCACAAATTCCGGTTCCCAAACAAGGCCTTATCCCCACCTATGGACAAAAAATACGGCGGGACCTTTCCCGAAAGGCGATTGTACGAGAGATCGACTAGCGAGAGCCTCAGCTTGTCGAAGCCCGTCGGGATCGGGCCCGTGAGCCCGTTTCTCGACAGGTTGAGCGCGTTCAACGAGGTCATGCTCGAGAAAACGCTCGGGATTTGACCGGTCAAACGATTCGAGGCGAGGTTCAAACCGACCAACCGAGGACAGCTGGCGAGCTCGGGAGGTATTGAACTGGTCAACTCGTTCGAGTCCATTTGTATCGACGTGATCTGTTTCAAACCTCCGAATTCCGGCGGGATTTTCCCGGAGAATTTGTTGTTGCTTAAAGAGATTCGCTCGATAAGCGAGGCTTTTCCGAGCTCTCTCGGCAGCTCGCCCGAGAAGCCATTGTTCGACAGGATCAATTCCTGTAATTGCAAAGCAGCCCCTATATGATCACCCGATATCCCACCCGAAAAATTATTATTGCTAAAATCGATCATGCGGACGTTCGGTAGGGCCCACACTCGACTCGGAATGGGCCCCACGAGGCGATTGCTGCTGACCCTCAGCCTCTGTAACGAGGGGCAGTCGGCGTAATTTTCCGGGAAGCCACCGGAAAATTCGTTTTCGATCGCCAGCAGCTTCTTCAGTGATCCCAGCTGGCAGAGGTACTTTGGAAGCGGGCCCGAAAACCCGTTTTGCGAAATATCGATGGAGTTCAACGGCGAGTACCGGCCCAGATTCGGCGGGAAAAGGCCAGTGAACCGGTTCATGTAGATCCCAAACGAGACGAGATTACGCATCTCGCCAAAACCGGCCGGAATCTCGCCGGTGAAGTTGTTCCGGAAGATATGAAAGACGGTTAGTCTCGTAAGGTTCCCCATTCTCCGGGGAATCTCGCCGGAAAATTGGTTTACCGAGATATCGAATTCCTGCAGAAGGGTCAATTCGGCTAGCCCGTCGGGCAACGTGCCGGTTAAGTTGTTCATGTACAGCTCGATTTTGAAGAGGTTTTTCAGTTTGTCGATCCACCGGGGAAACTCGCCGGAGATTTTATTCCGGCAGATATCTAGTGTACCTAATGCCTCTAGCTCGGACAAAGATTCAGGTATTTCACCCTTCAAATTCGAACCTGCTAAAAAAAGATAGTACAATTTTTTTAAATTCCCAATGCTCTCGGGAATTTCACCCTCGTCGAAATCGTTATCTGCGAGGCT